ATCAGGCATTATATAAAGTGGCATGATTTACAAAAAAAGTCATGATTTTGTGATACGGTAATGTTTAAGCAAACATTTCTTATGTGCCTTTTTTTTTTTTTGGTTTCTAGCTCTTTTGTTCGATCATTGCTGGTCTACTGCATTACTTCTTTTTAGCTGCCTTTGCATGGATGTGCATTGAAGGCATCCACCTCTATCTCATTGTTGTCGGAGTTATCTACAACAAGGGATTTCTGCACAAGAATTTTTATATCTTTGGCTATCTCAGCCCAGCTGTGGTGGTTGGATTTTCAGCATCATTAGGGTATAGATATTATGGCACCACCAAAGTGTAAGTTAAGATGATTTTAAAGCATTCAAAATATAATTCTGAATATGCTTTGTATATCACTGAAATTTTTGTTTTGTTAAAGTACATACAAGCACATTCATAGATTTTTATTTATTTTTTACTTTTCAGGTGTTGGCTTAGCACAGAAAACAACTTTATTTGGAGTTTTATAGGACCAGCATGTCTAATCATCCTTGTACGTATATTTAAAATTGTTGCTAGAGTTAAAACAAAAAAAAAGTGATAAAGAGGGCTTAAAATTTTCAGCCATTAAACATTATTCTGAGGGGGGAAAATGATTTTGAGCACTTTAAGTATATCACTTATTAACATTTAAATATATTGTATCCCTATGAGAAAAATTTATAGGCATCTTAAATACAAATCTATTATAATCATTTACCCCTCCTGGGGGAGGATATATTTCTGTATAACATATAGAAGGAAAAAAAAACATTTCCCACTTATCAGTAGTATCTCAGCATACCTCAATACCTAGAATGTTCCAACCAGCTGATAATCTGGCATTTCACATGTGTTTGTTACTTTATATTTTATCGCTGATCAGTGAACTTTGAAGATTAGACTGTCATCTTTATAGTGTTATCGTCCTGTGTACCCTGTTATCATGAAAGTGATTTTACACTAAATTGCGACATCTGAGGCAAGAACCCTCTATTTCTCATGAGCAGACAAGTCATACTGATAGTCCTATTTCAGCTAAAAAGAGGGCCTTTAAATTCTTATCAGAAGTGGTTTCAAACCTACAAATGTGGCAGGTGTTATATGTTCCATTCTAAATAAAAACATTTTTATATGTCTCAGGAGCATTTTTAAGGGCTGTAAGTTTTCAAAGCCATTCTGAATATGATAGTCTGTCAATGAATCTGGGAGGTCAGGCAAGGCTTCAGGATGAAATGAATTGTCGGAGGAGTTATGACCATATTTTGGACAACTTTGTCCCATATGTTTTGACCATAAGCTAACTAGCTAATTTTTTTTTTAATTTCCCTCTCACTATTTTCCCATATGTTTTTTATTGTTATGAGGAAGCTGCTAAATGGAGAAGACTTGAAATACAAAGCAGAGAATTTCCATCAAGGTTTATTTTTTAATGATGGGGATGAAATAAAATGCAATAAGACACTACATTTGTTTCATTGTCACATAAAATTGTTTATCATTTTCACAAGAAATCTAGTAATATTAAAAAAAACCATTGACTAGATTTTAGCTAATACTATTTCCGAGTTAGTGTATTATAGTGTCCCATTCACATATTTTCATATGTCATCCTGATATGAGTATTTTGTGTGAAGACATGTTGTATGTATTCTAATTTTACTGAATCACTCTACAGAATGGACTATCTCTGACATTTTTTCATACAAGTGAAAGTTCTGTGGATCAGTGATTCTTGTAGTTTAGATGAAAAGTAGAAAGTTAGAAAGTATACTGAAAACAGGAAAAATAGCAGTCTATCTAAAGTAAAAAAGAGAAAGTGTTCCCTGAATTTTTTTTTTTGCTTTTGCTTATATAAAGGAAAGAAAAAAAACACACCTGTATATTATTTTATAGTAAAGTCCGCAGACTTTAGATGGGCTTATCTAAAAATGAGCCTTGCAGACTTTCCCAGCAATCTAAATGACCAATGTCACACTGTCCTAGTTTGGTATTAATGAACCAATTTATCTTTCATACAGTTTCAGTATGTAATTATTCCTTTCAACCAGTGGGTCAAGCTATTTAAGAAATGTATGAGGCCACTCAGTTTTACTCTAAAATTGTTTATCATTTGTATTATCTTTAAAAACTGCAGAAATTCCTTAAATAATTACTGGATTGAAGTGAATTCATTCACTCTAGTTGTTCCTGACTTTCTGTGCTAATACTGGCTTTTTTCATTGTCGTTTTTCTTTTCTTCATACTGTTATTATTACTAGTACTACTGCTATTATACTACTTTATAACAGAAAAGTCAGGTGAAACTTTTCTGACAGTCCTAAAACAGTATTCAGTTCAAAGATTAAAGAAAAGAAAAATTGAGTGCCAGGCATTTGGAAAAGAGCCACCAGCAGGTTGGATGGCTTCCCGTGGGCCTTACAGAGAGACTGTAGGAACACCTCTAGCCTAGGAAGAGGACTGGAGAGAGGGGCTGCAGGCTAGTGGCTCAGAGTTAGGACTCCTTTGGGAGAGAATAATATTCTGTATGAAGAAGTTTTCTCTGCCTGTGAGAAGAAAGTTAGGTGCTCCCCATTCCCCTAAAGACAAGCTGGGGAGGAACATTCAAAATGTTTGTAGAAAATTGAATCAGAAATGGTAAAACTATCATCCTGATCACACATTGAATGCTAATGTGACTCTGGAATTTTCATGATGAGCACATTCTTTATGGGAGCTTGACCTTTGTCCCTTGACCGTGGACCAAATGTAAATATAAAGACTAGACCTGCTTTCCTTTGGAGTTTCTTGCAAGCTGCAAGCTTACTGGAGTTTCCTTTGACAGCAGGGAAGGATAGGATTATTATATAGCCTTCCCAGGAATAAAATAATGGGGAACACACAGAGCTATTAACTGTTCTGTACACACAGAAAAGTTAGAGAAGTGGAGAGAAGTTGTAGGGCTGCCCGGAAGGTTGCCAGGTCAAGTGAAGTTATGTACAACTAAAATAATGGGTTGAATAGAGATGAGGTTAAATGGTGACATGGCTGCCCTTCTCTGAAGAATATAAGGAGCCAAGATGTAAAGGAAATACTATAAACATCAAGACAATCACATTTACTGTCTAAGTGGAGGTCATCACATAAGCCAAGATTGCCAGCAGTAATGAGAACCAAAATAAACCAAAGTGATGCCACGAACCTTCCTCCATCACCAAGAGGTGATTAGAGCCTTCTAGCCCCCAAAAGCAGAGGAGTTGAACTTTGTCAGTGAAGAAACAGTATGCTGCCTTCACACTCATCTACACAGATCTACATGAAAATCATCATTCTATAATTGGGAATATACTTGTAGATAAGGATGTCAAGCCCTATAACTAAGTTTACCATGCTAATTGGGTGTGGATATGATGGGGGAAAAGACAAACAAATAAATATTATCCCAAATCACTGTAGTATTAATGCAGAGAAAACAAAATAAATGACAAAGAAGAATATATAATGAAAGATAAATGATACTGATTTGATATGGAGAGATTAATGTGGGATATAATAATCATTCAATGAATCTTCATTGAGAGGGAAGGACTTGTTTGTGGATAGGCCAAGAAGCAGATTCTGCTTAACATGCAATAGATTCTAGGTGTGAATGTGTCTACCAAGCTGCTTGTATACTTGCCAGATTTCCTTTTCAAGGAAAGCAAAGGGCACAAACAAAATAGTATCCATCCCATATAATAAAAAGGTAATATGCAAATTGACCCTCACGCCCTCTTTTCACAAGATGGCTACCCCAACGTTGTTGCAAGATGGCCTGCAGGGGAGGGCAGATGGGGGTGATCACGCTGGGAGGCATAAGTGGTTAGGGGCAATCAGGCAGGCAGGCGAGAAGTCCCGATTGCGAGAGGGATATCCAACTGCCAATTTAGGCTCAATCGGCCTAAACAGGCAGTTAGACATCCCCTGAGGGGTCCCAGATTGGAGAGGGTGCAGGGCCTCTAGTTGTAAATAAAACAATACCATACAAAACAAAATTATCATCTGTGTTATTAAAAATATTCAACAATCATATTTTTTAGATTCATCACTCCCTTGGTTAGATGTCAGTATTTATCAAATTTTTACCTTCATACGTGTACTTGTTTCTTCTCTATTTTCATAGTCAAACCATTGTTATCCTGTATTAAGATTATAATATTACTAATAGAATTTTTAAATGTGTAATTTATTGAGCAGCATTTGTTTTTGAAACACACAGCTAATACATTAATACTTAGTCCCCTTAAATATCACATTATTATCCAATTTTATAGTTAACAAAAAATAGGGTTTGATTCAAATGTTAAGTCATTGGTCCAAGGTTCTAAGTCTACAGATAATATTGATGTTAGAACTTAAAATTCTCTGTCTTAATCGAAAGCCCACTTTTCATTTTACTTTGCATCTTTTGCAATTGTCTTCTAACCTATCTTTCCCCTGCCATTTTCTCCCATTTGTTTAATCTGTCTATAATAAACTCAGATAATGGGAACTATTAATAAGAAAAATAAGAATGTTTATGCTAAATCTTAATATATTTCTGGCATTAATGTAAATATTCTCTATGTGTCAGCACATTCAATCTAATCATTCAAACAACTCAACATGGCTGTGTGTATGTGGGCACACACACCCAATTTATTTTATTTTGAAGTTGGATAGATTGAAGCATAGAGTGATTGCATATCTTATCCAACAGCTAGTAATTACCTGAGCTGGAACTCACATTCATGAAATTGAATCTATGGCCTATCTTCTTAATCCCAGTTCTGACAGACATCCCTTTTTGTTTGTGTGTGTGTGTGTGTATGTGTGTGTGTGTGTGTGTGTTGTTTTTTGCCAATAGACCAAATGCCATAGGCTGGTACATTTAATTCTCAGAAATCTAGCTGAACCTTGCCTATGTTCAGCCTTTTTTCACACTGCATATCCCCCCAAAACAACTCCTCCAAGAACTTTATGCCCCTTGGAATAGTTGCTATTCCTTGGATATTTTCTTGGGCCTTTGCGATCAATAATCCTGCCACTTCCTGCAAAATTTTTCTGCCTAATATCTTATCATTAATTAATACACAAATTGATGAAAACCTCTCCAGGTTTATAACTAATCTACAGAGTAAGGTCTAGGTTCTGTAAGTGATATTTTCTTGCTTTTATGAATGGAGCACTGAGGCATGTCTGGTTTGGGATCCAATATAATAAAAGGCTAATATGCAAATAGACCAAATGGTGAACAACCAGTCACTATGACGCACACTGACCACCAGGGGGTAGATGCCCAATGCAGGAGCTGCCCCCTTGTGGTCATTGTGCTCCCACAGGGGGAGAACCACTCAGCCAAAAGACAGGATCACAGCTGGCGATCACAGTGGCGGTAGCACTAAAGATGTCCGACTGACAGCCCAAGGGCAGTGGGCTTAAGCTGTCAGTCAGACATCCCCCAAGGGCTCCTGGACTGTGAGAGGGTGCAGGCTGGGCTGAGGGACCCCGCACCCC